CGGGCCGGGCCCGAGCGAGGGGCCGCAGGGCCGGGGGAGTCCCCCGGGACAGGGTCCGGCCCCGCCGCCCCCGAGCTCAGCCCGCCCGGCGTCCGCCGCTGCCCCGCACCGGGTGCTGCCAGTGCGGGCTGCGCTTTGTGCGGAGACTGCACGAAATATTTGACTCTGTCCTTTTTTGTTTGTTTCCTTGGGGGAAGAAAATGCTTCTTTTCATTACAGTGAAGCACAAAATCTGTGAATCTGCAGCCTACAAATAAGACAAATTGAATGTGTGTTGTCTTGGACATGAATTACATACCTGTACATTAATCATTAATAAAAAAAAAAAAAAAAGCCAAGTCAATGAATATGAGAAGTACTATGTTTCTATCCAGAACTGAGAATCTCCAATAACATGGGAACTGGTGTGAGTCCCATCAGTTCCATGTGAGTCCCTGCTTTTAAACAGTTGCCTTACTGCTCCCAGCAATTGTCTTTCTGGCTTTTTCTGGTTTAATACATGATATAGTAACATGGGGAGCAGTTACAAAATGTTTGGCTCTGTCCTTTTTTGTTTGTTTTAGTTTTTTGGGGTTTTTTTGAGGGAAAAAAAAGCAATGTTAAAAAGTCCTGAGAGTTGTGCTGCCTCCTTCCCTCACACCAAAATTCAGAAGAAGACACATGTGGTCAGCTAAACAGAGGTAGGATTCTTCCTCATCAAAAGCAAAGTACTGCAGAAAACACAGCAAAAAAATACTGTAATCCAACTGGAGCTGGCTTTTAGAAAGGCATCTCTAGTACTAATGTTTATATAGGGCTTTTCAGGTAGTTATGAAGCATTTTGTGAAGCAGGATGTGTTATTAGTTAACTTACAAATAAACTGGTACAGTATTTCCAAACATTTTCTCTTTACTTGCTCATCAAAAGTCACTATTCAGTGTAGTTTTAAATTAGAAGTTAATTTACACTTTTGCTAATGACCACAATAGGAGAATCTTTCAAGTGTTGTTTAAAAGAAAAAAAAGAGTTACAGTTAACAGGTAAATTTAGAAGTTTGAGCACTAACCTATCTGCCCCTGAATTACGTGGCATTGAAAGGTGCTGAAGGCTTTGCACAGAGGATCCTGTATGTTCTAGTTCCATGAATGCCCCTGCTGTTGATGCTTTGAAACCCTGTGGTTCAACCATCACCCTCATCTAGGAGAAGATTTTTAGCAACTGTGCTGCCAGCTTTAAAGCACTGTGACAGAAAGCTGGGGCAGCCAAATTACACTGGGCGGTGTATTTTATGTCTACTCTGTGAGCAAAGCCTCCCTTTGGGTTGCCTTCATCCACATGTGGTTTATCCTAAACTAGTCATGCAGAAGTTAGACTTACTGCTTCTTTTTTCAATGGGTAGGTATTGTAGTGATTTCTTGCTCCCTTTCAGATGCTTTCTTAGATATAACAGGTTTGCTTGATAGCAAATGGATCACACAGCCACACCCTACTGAGAGTTCATTTCTGCAGCCATCCTAAAAAGGTGAGACGTTGATACTGATGTTACATGTTGCACAGTGATTCTTGGATTTAAAGTGCTGTCAGATCTGTGTTGTAATGGATGCCTTATCTGATCTGACGTTCTATGCCACCAGCATGCTAACTGGATCACAGCATAAGTCTGTGAATATGTACAGCTGTTTGATAATTATTCTCATCTCTGCTACATGCTGACTACTAAATTGCTTCCTGAAGTACCTTCCCCAGTGTTTTCACAAGACTCACTTAGGTCAGAATTATGTATTCTCGGTTCCCTACCTTGCTGAACTTTTCAGCATGAAAAAGTGGTAGCAAAGTACAGTAGGGAAGTTTAAAACAGCATTTACCTCATTACAACTTTTGTTTGACTGAAACACATTGCAGGTGTGGAAAGTATTTATGAAATTATGTGGCAAATGGTTCCCTCTGAATAATGACTCTTGATATTATTAAAAATGTGTTCTTGGTATAGTAAAGAACAAAATAATGGAAAAAAATGTCTTCCATTTGTCACTTCCTTCACATTCAAGTAACAATAGAAGGTACCTCAAAGCTGAGGCTTTACTGTGCAATCTGGCTCCCTCTCCAGAAGGCACTGTCAGACAGTGGGAAACCTGCCCTGACAAAGAGCCTGCCTGAGGTAACTCTAGAGCTCAGGAAAGCCTTCAGTAGTGTATGATCCTGTAGGGCCTTCCCAAACCACAAGACCACAAATAAGCAAATGTTTTGGTGCTAGTGTGGAGAACAGCCAACACTACTCCCTGCTCACTTCTCTTTGTTTCTCCACCCCATTAGTCTTAATGAAGCCAAGTTTGTTCTTTTGTTAGCTGAAAAGGTCCTGCTAAAGCAGTAACCATTTTCTGCTTTGCAAAGCAGAAAAATTGAGATATAGAAACATCCAAAATGCTTTCAGAATAGTTGTGAGCAATCTAAATATATTTGTTCAAACAGTAACAGTTCAGATTGTCTTTCAATTAAAGGATTTAATGACGGAAGTTATTTCATGCAAGTTGCAGTAACTTAGTTAATCCAAGCCTCCTCTTTCATACCTGCAGTTCTGAACTATGACTTTTTGGGCATCAGAACAGGAGAAGAAGCATTACTTTGCTTCCAAGTTCACACAGAAATTCCTGAGAACTCCCTTTTAAACTGGAATTAGGGCTGCCTAGGATGAGTTTGCTACAGTTACACTTGGTTCCATACAGAAGTAAAAGTGAAATGTCTTTATCAAAACAAGTATGAAAAGTTCTTCAAGATCTTACATATGCAGCCATCAGCCATTTGAGTACAGCTGAATAACTGGATCCATGCATCCTGGTTTCTGCTAACAGCAGCTGTAGTGTGCTGTTGTCAGCAGCAACCAGTCTGCTTACCCTGCAGACAGTGACTCCCATTTTCCTGCACACATAGCAGAGATTTAGGGAAACCGAGACAGAAGATTAAATTCCTCCCCAGTTTCAGTGAAATCCCTGTGTTTGCCTCAGTAGGTCATCTGTCTTCTGAAGGAAAGCAAGAAAAGATTACTGATGTTATTTTCAACAGATACCTCAATGTGTTGCTTCTTTCCAAGTTTTGTACATCCAAATTCTTATTGATGGGCTTAGTAAACATTTAATTAGCCGTACTGAAGGATAACTAATCATTCTGTCTAAGGGTTGCCCAATTATGCTTTCGAAGGTTTTCTCTTATTAAAGGAAAGAACAGCAGATGTGATGATTCACCCTCACTACCTCCATTTTCTCCTCCTCTGTGAATTATAACCATAGAGGCTCAATGTTTTCTTTGCCTTGCAAAGAAATAAACTGACGAATTAAAATAAAGTAAGAATGATTTCTTAAGTAGATAACAGAATACAAAAGCAGAGGTTGTGCCAAATGTTGTAGCTAAAATAAATGGCACAGTAAAAGCCTCATAAAATTGAAAGGATATATAACAGAATAAATTCAAGGTATTTGCTCAAAAATACAACTACTTTAAAAAATTCATAGATACAACCTTGATCTGCCCTTAAGTAGTCACTATCTAAATAGGGATTTGAGATTATTTTTAGACCTTCCAGTTCACATAGAGAGTACTGAAAACTGACTTGAGGTGTCTTGCATAAGTCTTTCATGATTCTGCCATTTGAAGTTGTGTTTCATCAGTGAGAAATACCATGGCACAGTATTCTATGTGTGTCATTGTAACACTTTTTTTACCACTGTTTCAAGTGTGGATGTCAACTGCACAGATAAAATAGACTGAACTGAGAAAGCAATTGATTTTAAAGCATCAGTTAACAAACCAGGAGCAAAAAAGCATGAAATAGTTGTAAATGTACAAGATTTCAGAATTATGACAGGGAAATGTCAGACAGTAATGCTAAAAGGCATTAATTAGACAGTCCAATCTTTTCTGCTAATTCTCAAAAATTTGGAGATTCCATGGCACGGTGACCAAGATATTTTTTAGTTATGATATGATTTGATTGTATACTTTCATCTATTAGTATCCACAGTAGGAAATCAATTTTTCCATTGTAACTTTGTGCCGTGGCTTCCAACACTCTCCCCATGGAGCCTACGTGAAGAGAGAAAAACTTGAGACAGGAAGATTTTTTTCTAAGACAGAAAACCTGTGCCTTATTCATCATGAGGCAGCTGTCCTTTGTGTAAAGAAAACTGACTATACTGACCTGCCATCAATGAGGAAGGATAAAGGGTTTCATAATGGCTAAACTGTATCTGAAGGTATTAGGAGGAGTTGCTCAAGAAAATGAAATTGGGTTCATTTTCCATTGATAGTTAATTGTATTGATAAAGACAAATATTTCACTGACATGGTCCCCAAAAGGCAAGTTTGCTTATTCTGCTGCTGCACTTCTAGTTTAACTGCTCTAGCAGAGTGGCATTTCAAGTCTCTGTTTCTGAAGGGCAGGCAAACACGGCATGGCCCTGCAATTGGATTTACTAAAAGGTGTGTGCTAATTAAACACTGAATCCTTAAAAGTAAAAATAGTTAATTCAGCTTCCTAAATTCAGTCAGAATAATGCCCATAAACCCTGGCATTCACAATTACTCAGATTTGCTTCAAAAGACAGCAGCAATTGCTTCTAAATTCAGCTTCCCATAAAGAGCTGAAGGCCTGCCATGTACAAAACCACTACTGCAGCCTTGCAAAATTGATTTTAAAGTACTTGTTGGACCACACAACCAGAAGGCAAGTTACCATAGATTAAGACATGAAGACATCTAGTAGTTGACAGTTTGTATTCTCATTTGGTATTTATGGCACATGAAGTTAGCTTGATTGCCCATAATTTACAGAGGGAATTTTTTATTGGTATGGATGAGAATTATCTTTCTTTAGCAGGGAAAAGAATGCAATACTTTTAATCTAAGAATATCTTTAACCTTGTTATTTCTAGTACAACGTGTTATTTAACATTTTATTTCCAGTGCAACCTAAAGGAAGAAAAAATGACACCCCCTCAATGGCTGAGTGCAGCCCAACAAAGCTTTCTTCAGGCCACCACCAAAAATTTCATTTTAATCACTTTTATGCTCTTAACTACAAACTTTTTATCAAAAAGCAGTATGTTGTTGAAATGTTTCCTTAATATAAATTTCAGTCAAATCAACTATTTAGAGCAGCTTGCATTTAGAAAATGTTGAGAGTTAAAAATAGCATAATTGAAGCAACTTTCTTGTACTTTTTTTCACTTAATATTTCTCTCAGTTCTCAGAGTTTACCTGCAAGACAACACTATCACAATTTAGGTAGCTATCATCAGATATCTAGTACTAAAAAAATTTACTGAGTTCAAAATCATAAGAGGTTTTGTTACCTCTTATAAGATGACCAGGGTGGGTGATTTATCCAGCATCTGGATGATATCTTTAGGGAACGAGATGTTCTGCAGTTTGCAGGTAGGTTGTTTTACCTTATCAGCACTGGAAAACAGTCTGAAATCTTTATTTTCTTCTCTTTCTTGACCTTTATTTCTCTTATTTGTTCATTATAAATCTAAGAAATCTCATTTTAAAGCCCACTTGACAAGTATCTTGAGATCTTTCTAGATCCTAATGGAAAAACAGGTAAAAGGGAAGGATTAAAATCAGAGAGTCACTATGGAAAAACCCATTAGGTTGAAGGCACACAATCCATCATTATGTTCCAAGGCAGAATGTACAAAAGGCAACAAAGCAGGAGTCAAACATTTATTTTCAGTTTCAGATCTTTTTGTTGCTCAGCAAATTGAATAATTATGGTTGGATCTGCGATTTTTAAGCAGTGTAATTATCCAGACTAGTAAACTGTGCTTCAGATTTCTGAAAGAATGGGTATCCTTTTTCGAGTTCTACTGGCCAGAATAATTGCAGCTTCCAGTGAGCAACAGGAGACAAAGATTGCTTTTGGTCTTGTCCCAGTAAACAGAAACATCCGGGCATCTCATGCTTTTGTTCAGTGAACAAGTTTAATGACCTGTAATAGACACTACAGACTTGTTTCTCTGGGCACTCAAAATGTCTCTGGTTATTGATCCTCCTGTTCAGAGCAGTACACTCATCTGTATTCCTTCTTGTTCACTGCCCATCCTTGGGAATGCAGAGATTCCTTATTTGATTTATGGAACATAGAAAGGGCCCTAGTGAAGGGACCACTCCCCTTTATTTTAAGAAACCAAAACAAACCAGGATCAGCACGTGCTGAGTACATGAAATGCTCTGACAGCACAGTTACTAAATTTAAGGATTTTTCTGGTTAGTTCTTTGTACTTTGAGTGCTTACTAGTTTATGTTAATTTTTTTTAAATGCTAGTCCCTTCTTGATTTTTGGGCTTGCCATTAAATCAGAATTGAAATTAGTACCAAGTAGTAGGTACAATCTCCTAACTTGAGTTTTGGCAGTTCTTTCCCCTTGCATAGTATTGCCAAGACATTTCAAGATAATGGACTACCTTCCCCTTAGGGCTCACATTTTGTTGATTATTTTCCTTCAGTTTTTAATGTCTGAATTTCCCT